GGATTATTAATTTCCTCTCTGAGAACCTCTAACATATTCATCAAGGCTATTTTGAAGTCCTTGTCTTATGCTTCAGCTACACTGCATTTCTCATGGCTGTTATGGTAGGGTTACTGGGCTCTAGTTGTCCTGGCTGTTGTTGTGTTTTTACACCGGCATTTCGGCATCTGGGATTGGGAAAGTTGTAATTCTAGGTGCTGATATCTGGTCTTGTCTTTGTTGGTGAATATTTGGTTCCCTGGTTTCTATTACCCTCTGTGGTTCTTAGGAGAGTGTGGTGGCTGTGTGTTGCCTTGTAGGGAATGCTTCTGAGATCTTGACAGGTATGGCCATTGGCGATTCCCTTTAGAATGTGTTTCTTGATATTGGAACCTGACACTTAGGGTGGAGCTGGGCTAGAAGTGGGATTGAAGGCTAGGAGGTTTTTAGGGTGGAGCTGGGCTAGAAGTGGGATTGAAGGCTAGGAGGTCGCTGGTGGGGGTCACTGAGGGAGGAATACAGGCTGTGCCTCTAGGATCTGCTTAGTCCCCTGGGAATGGGTGCAGAGAGGGAGGAGAGGTCAAAGCTGGTAGTCTGTTGGGTTTCCAGAAATTGCCTGCTAGAGTTGGGGGCTCAGACAAAAGGATGTGGGGAGGAGGGCAGTGTGGCCGCCTGTAGGAGAAGGTTTGTGTGATCTAGAGATGGGGGCAGAGAGGAAGAGGAGGCTACAGCAGGTGGTCTGCTCCAGAGCTGGGGATACTAGACTGGGGGATTGGATTTGGAGAGAGGAGAGAGAGTAAAGTTCTGAAGATTGCCTACCTGCTTTCCTAGCTGATGTGGCAGGCAGGTTCCCAGGAAGTGCCTACAGAAGTTGGTTGCTATGACAAAGGGATGGCGTTGGGGGTAAGGCTTGGGGAGGCTGTAGGAGATCTGCTTGATCTGCTGGAGATGGGGGCAGAGAGGCAGGGTCTATTTCTTTCCTTCTTGTGATACTAGAATTGGGAGCCAGGGCTTTGTGCATGCTAGGCAAGCACTCGACCACTGGGAAGAAAAGGACGACAGACAACTGAGCAAAACCTCTTGATTTTAACATTGAAGATCAGCACGGACGCTAGACACTCAACCTCGGCCTCAGTTTCTGTCACTTGACTGTGAAAGGAAGCAATCTGAGAATGTTACACTGCAGAAGGACCGTGTCACAGGTTTACAGGGAGTTTGTGCTTCCACGTTTACTTCAAATTTATTCTTTTATGTTAGTTTCCAGCACAGTCACAGATAGGAATTAGAAGATGGTGATTTCTGTAAACCATTTAAGAGAAGGGAAGCTCCAGGTATCACCCAAACCTGTTCTAACTTCTGTAGTTGATAGAAGCACCATCAATGAATAGTGGCATTAGCATGTCTAGAAACTGAGTATGAGTCAATCCACTTAGCCAATGCAGCTGTGGGTGGAGAGGAGCCTACCATCACACCACGATGGAGCTTTCAGCCAGCAGAAGGTGTATAATCAGAAAGGCTCCTAAGGAAGTCTTAGCAGCAGTTTTCAGAAGTACCCACCCCCTGTCTGTTAGGGATCAGCAACGGAAAAGCTGCTGAAGAAGTCCTAACACCAGGACATTGTCAGGAACTTTTTAAGTCCATTTTGCATGCCAGCAATATGAGAAGTGACTGCAGTTTTGTACTTGAGGAACTAGCAGCATGAAGACATTAAATACCATGGCAGAGATTTTACCGCTGAGCTCACACAGACCTTCACCCCTTTGCTTCTCCTGTCTTCCCTAGCTTTTTCTCCTCCTCTTTCTTCCACCGAAGCATGTTTAATCTGGGTGTAGACAGCAAGTAGTTGTGGTATATTGTGTACCCTAATAAAATTTGTCTGAAGATCAGAGAACAGAACAAGCCACTAGATTAAACACAGAAGCCAGGCAGTGGTGGCACACACACCTTTAATCCTAGCACTCAGGAGGCAGAGATCTGTCTGGATCTCTGTGAGTTCAAAGCCACCCTGGACTACATGAGATTGACTCAGTCTAGGAGAGAAACAGAGCCAGGCAATGGTGACACACACCTTGAATCCCAATACTTAGGAATCACATGCCTTTAATCCCAGCATTTGAGATTTCATGCCTTTGCTTGGGAAGTCACACGCCTTTAATCACAGCACTAAGAAGGAAGTTTTATGGTGGGCGGAGAAAGGTATATAAAGCGTGAGTATACAGGAACTAAGGCTTTTCAGCAGAAGCGTCTCTTTCAGCTAGAAGCTCTTTTGGCTGAAGCCTTTCAGCTGAGAACTCAGAGACATACAGAGGATTTGTGGAGTTGGCGAAGTAAGACATGGCAGTGGCTTGTTCCTTTGTCTCTCTGATCTTCAGGCAAATTTTATTAGTGTACACGATAGATCACTACAAGTAGTAACCATTCTGGCACATTCTAGTTAGCCTCAAATTTCTCTGAGCTGTGTCAATATGGCATTTACTAACTATATGCACCCATTTACATTTAAATCATATATAGTTTAGTTTTTCAGCCTTAACTACCATATTGCATGTACATATGATTAATGACCCTGTACTGGAATGTGCAGAATTAGGTTGTTCCCATCATACAGTGCTTTGTTGGGCTTGTCTGCTCTAGAACATAACACTCTCTAGACAGCAAGAACAACAGCAAAACCAAAACCAGAGTACAAATAGAAAGTACAGGGTTGCAGGGAAGCCGTAGGCCAGCCCCATTCAGGCCTCTTGAACTTTGATTTTTGCCTTGTATTTATCTGAGAGTCTTTACCAGCATTTGATTTTGTATGAGTTATTTTCTAGGTTTCACAAATGTCAGTCATAGTCATAGCACTGTGACATCTCTGTGTTGATGAGGGCTCTGTCTAAAATGCCAAAGGGTGCCTGCTGGCTTATGCTATTTAAAAGCCTTATTTGATTCACCTTGAAAGAAAAATGGCAGGAGGCCATTTCTGATCCCTTTAAATATTTATAAAGGTTAATCATTTAAAGTTGAAAAAAATCTAGAACATTTTTTCACACACCTTTTGAAGCATAATTGTTCAATGATTAATGTTGCCAGAAACTGTGGCTCCCATGCACAAGCCCAAGCCATGAAGTTACCCCAAAAGCAGTGCACACTTTCCTCTGATCTGTGGTGACATTATCATCCTTGAGTTCATCCAGGTGTAACCATCTATTCTTGCCTATATGACTGTTGCATTCTACATATTTATTCTTATTTCATTATTCAGTATACAGGAAAGGCATTTGAGATTTCAGAGAAGGATGGGAATTAGGCTTCTTCTTACATTGTGCATATTTGTGTGTATACTGAGGTGTGTCCACTGAGGGATTGGCACCAAGACCTTGTGAGGTACTAAAATCTGGATGCTCAAGTCCCGTCTTTAAGTTGGATCCATGAGGGCTCACCAGGTAAAGGTGCTTGTTGCCAAACCTGACAGCCTGAGTTCACCTCCTAGGACCCTCAGGATGGAAGCTCCACACATACAGTACATGAATGAAAATTGCCAATTATATATTTCTATATATATAATATATATGTAAAATATATACTTACATATAATTGTAATATATGTCTATAAAATGGCATAATAGTTGCATATAGCTTATATAATCCTCATAATTTTAAACAATCTCTAGATACATATAATTCCTACTACAACAGAAATGCTCTGTAAACATTTTTTCTGTTGTAAATTTCAGAGACTGACACTGAGGGAAATTTCTGTACATATTTAGTACAGGTGTATATGTTTTTCTTTTTTAGTATTTTTTGATATGTAGATGATTGAATCTGCAGATGCAGAACCCATGGATACTGGGAGTTGACCGTATAAATATATCATGTCAAATACATTAGTGCTTTACAGAGCTTATTACTTTATTACACATGAGATATGTTGTGGAATAGAATATTTGTAAAGAAAACTATGTAAAGATGTGTTGCACTGTTTATACTGCATTTGTAAAGATGTGTTGCTGCGGGGCTGTGGGACTGGTAGGTGACGAAGATTTGTCCTGACTGTGGGCCAGGCAGGAAAACTCCAGCTACACATGGCCACTTCCAGCTCCTGGCCATCCCACCACATGAGCAGGCTGGTGCTCTGTGACCCATTTCACTCTCATGCCAGCTCATCTCTTCTGTCAAATATTGTGCAATTGTTTTGGATTAGTAAAGCTTTAATCAGATCCAGAACAATGGTGAAAACTAGTCTGAGGGAAATTTAGTTTTCTTGACTTGTCAGTTTATGAAGGGAAAAGAGAATGAAATTGAAAGAAAATAATGAATAGTTCAAAATATTGTAACTGTTATAATCCACTGAATTTATTGGTTAAGTCAAATTAAACACGATTCTTCATAAAAAAAAAAAAAAAAAAAAAAAAAAAAGATGTGTTGCTGCTTTACCTTGCCTGCCTAAGGCACCTGATTGGTCTGATAAAAAGCTGAACAGTCGGTGCTGGAGAGATGGCTCAGAGGTTAAGAGCACTGACTGTTCTTCCAAAGGTCTTGAGTTCAATTCCCAGCAACCACATGGTGGCTCACAACCATCTGTAATGAGATCTGGTGCCCTCTTCTGGCCTGCAGGGATGTGTGCAGACAGAACACTGTATACATAATAAATAAATAAATCTTAAAAAAAAAAAAAAAAAAGCTGAACAGTCAATAGCTAGGCAGAGGATGAACAGGCAGGGCTGGTGGGCAGAGAGAAAAGGGGAGCCAGCTAGCTGGCAGACAGACAGACAGACAGACAGACAGACAGACACGGGGGAAGCAGGAAAACAAGATGGACATATGTACGTAGATGAGGTAAATGAGCCTCAGGTAGCACATAGATGAATAGAAGTAAGTTAATTTAAGTTAAAAGGCTGGCTAGAGACAACCCAAGCTGAGGTCGAGCATTTATAATTAATAGTAAGTTTCTGTGTCATGATTTGGGGGCTGGTGGTCCAGGAAAGCCTGCTACATTATTTGGCCTAATTGTACAAAAAATCCTTTATGTCCAGGAAGAACGAGCCATGCTTGTAAAAGAACTTTCTTCATTTCGGAACCAAAGGGATCAACTTAAGGCAGAAGTTGAAAAATACAGAGAATGTGATCCACAAGTTGTGGAAGAGATACGTAAGTTCTTATCACCATTGAACATCTTAATTTTGAAACGAGACTGGGCGTGTCTAGTTGCCTGGAAACCATCATATCTCCCTCCCCCCCCCCCCCCCGTGTGTGTGAGTGTGTGTTTACACACGTACACTCTCCTTTAAGATGGCTTCAGTGCGGCTGCTCACTCTGTGGTCTAACAAAGACACTGCTCACAGTTGCTACTAAGGAGGCTCACAGTCCAGCCTTGAGTGCTCACAGCTTGGCACAGAAAGCCTTTCAGAAGGAAGGCAGTTAAGGGGATGGAACAGTCGAGGCCTAAGATAGTCAGGAAACTGAGAGGCCAGAGAAAGAGCAGTTTGGTCTTAGCCACCTCCAGTCTGTGAAGAAATCGACCATTACCTTCTAAGAAAAGGATATTGTAAATACCAGCGCTTGCCTTATGAGTGTACCCCGGTGATTTTCTCCCTTGTGTGTGGAGGGCAGAGGACAGCTTACAGCAGCTGGCTCTCTCCTTTCACCATGTGGATTCCGGGGATCTGACTCAGGCAGTCGAGCTCGGCGGCAAGACCCTTTACCCACTGAGCCCCCTTGTCTGCCTTCCTTCAGTTTTAACACAGAATCTTCAGAACTTGGTATTATTTATGTATTTATAGAAACCTAAAATTAGAACACTTACAGAATTTTAAAAAGCATATTATAAAGACACAACATTTAACTGTTTGGGAAAATATGTATAACTTTTTCCATATTTTTTCTATTTTAGCTTACTTTTGTTTAGGGCAAACTTTACCAAGTGTATCTTTTTAAAGATGTGACATAGCACATGACTGAGACTGTGACAAACCTGGGACTACTTGGTACTTTAGAAGTAGCCTGAGCATAGTTGGATTACAATTAAGGTGGCCTAGCACGCACATGTGCATGTGTGTTGTCTTTTGAGAAAAAGATCTCTCTATGTAGCCCAGGCTGGCTGTAAGCTAGAAATCCCCTTGCCTCTGAGGCCTCTGGAATGCTGGGATTTCAGCACAGTCTGGGTCACCTGCCCAAGGAAACACCTATGAACATACAGTGGTGACCACGTGGAAGATATTTATTGACTATGACTAAGGGGTACAGATTGTAAACACAAAGGAAATACATCAGCTAAGCAAAAAAGTGCTGCCATAGGGAAAGCTGTTAGATCAGAAAACTGCAGTCAGATAGGAGCAGACCTGGTCAGAGAGCGTGAGGGTCACATTTTCTTTCTGGGAAAACAAAAGCTTTTCAGGAACTGCTGGAAGGTACATGCATGATGGTCCTGAAAGCAACTCACCTGAGTGTTGAGCCTAGGGAAGAAGCATGTCTGTGAAGCTCTTGAGGACCATTAGGCTCACCACACAGCTGACATCTTGAACAAGCAGCCTTTCACTTCTGAGACCGGATAATAAGCAGGCCTAGCTTGCTGGTAGATGCTGCCTCCTTTTTCTCCTGTTCTCTGATGATGAAGTAGCTATTGTAGTGCCAGATGTAGCTAAGCACTTTGTTCCACAGGATGGTGATAAAAAAAAAAAAAAATCTGTGGCCAAACATGTCTCCCAAACACTGAATTTGCAGAGATTGACTGTCTCAGAGAGTTCTACTTCCATCTCTTCGTGAAAGTCTTTGTAAAATTTTTAGATTCTAGAGAACAGCACTAGCAAGCCTGTGTTCAGTAATTCTGCCACTTTTCCTTGGAGCAGCACTTCTTTGCTTGTAGGAGTCCAGCACCCACCTTTTGAAGGGTTCTTAGGTGGAGGAGAGAGGGATAAGAAATGATAGAAAGATAGACGTAGACGATGAGAAGAAAGACAGAAACACAGGATAGTCTCAGGAGGGCCTGGGTCAGTACCCACCAGCCTCGTCCTTTATTCAAAAGGACTTTTTATAATATGCCCCGGGGAGAGGCAAAAAACCTCCCCCTTGCAAGATCAAAGCACACCATACAGCCAAGTGCAGACCCTTCCAAACACCTGGTAAACCCGCCTGTGGCCAGATCATCTCCTTGTGCAGCCCTGCTGGGTACAGCAAGCTCAGGTTCTCTGCTCCTGAGTAAGGTCTCACGAGATAGCCCCTGTGGCCCCACGTTTACTTCTCTTCCATTCTTTTCTCTATTCAGGAGCTGTAAGTGTTAGCCCTCCTCAGCGAGGAGTTAAGATTTTCTACTTTGTAATTCTCCTGGTACTCCTCCAGGTGGTTCCTTGGACAAGTGACCTTTACTGACATTACTTCTAGCTATCACAAAACATCAAACTATTGCCAGGTTACTTAGCATGTCCTGCAACAAGTTTAGGAATACTTATAAAAATCCAAAATCACCTAGCAAAAAAATGTATGTTTTGCTTTCGAAGGGTGGTTTTCCTGTCTGTGAATGATGCTCTAGGAGTGATAGTTAGCATGTTCCCTTCCCTGTCTATTGTTGAACTAATAAAGTCTGTGAACCCTAAATATAAATGAGAGAGAGAGAGAAAGAGTGAATGAGTGAGTGAGTGAGTGTGTGTGTTTGGAATGTAGGCCGATATGCCAGTTGTGCAGAGACTAGGAAAATGTCACACAGAGCAAACAGTAATCTGTCTGTCAGTGCTGGACCAGAGCAGAACCAGCAGGGCAGAGCATTAGAATGCTTAGAGTTGTCCATAAGCTGGAAACTGAAGAGGCAGTATGAAAGATAGCAAAGAGACCTACATCCGTTCTTTTTGACATGAGAATTACACTGGATTAATAGCAGATTACTTTTTGCCAAAGAACAAATTAGTGTATTTGAAGACATAGCAAAGAGAAAAGTTAAATATTAAACTGGCACCCATGATCTGAGGACACCCTAGCCTAACATGTGTGTGACTGGACTCAGAAAGGAGCAGGGTGCTTGCTGGACCACGAAAATATCTGTAAAAACAATTGTTTTTGAATTTTTATGGAGCAGATTGAACTCTGACCACTGCCCAGCCCCTCCTCCTCCCATGCAGCAGGTGCAGTAAATCAGTCCTGAAAATTTCAGTGAAAACTACAAATTCCACAGATCTAAGAACTTAACATTGTTAGTAGCTGATGTCAGAAATCTCCTTATCATTAAATTTAAATAACTTTACTAGGTTCTAACCTCTAACCCCAAATACTAATGTGCTTTTTTATAATGAAGATTTTCATAGGATTTCAGCTATCAAGTTAGGGTAGGAAGAATTGGATTAAAGGATTATGTGTTTTATAAATTGATTTTAATAGGATTTAGCTCTTAATAGCAAGCTCTCATAGCCACATTACAACACTTGGGCTTATCCTGGCTGTCCATGATCCATGTGGAACACACTTTCCTGATAATAGTTCACATGGACATGCTTATATATTTTCTCTTTCTTAAAATAGTGCCTGCAGGAAATATTTGTAGTTCATCATTTCAATGTGATGATTGATTTATTAACAAGTTTAATTGTAAATAACTGGGGAAGTGAGAAGTCAAAGCAATCGTTTTCTATAATACTATTTTTAGCCACTTTAACTATTACTTGAACAAGACTAGATAAAACTAGTGGTAGAAACTGAATTCTCACAAAAATACTTGAAAGTAAGCCAGGCTTGGTGACACATGCCTATAATCTCAGTTATTTAGGAGGCAGAGGCATAAAGATTGAAAGTTCAAGACCAGCCTAGGCAACTTAAACCCTGGGGTTTTTGTTTTTTGTTTTTTGTTTTTCTTTTTTTGGGGGGGTGGGGGGGTTGAAGCAGGGTTTTTCTATGTAGCCCTGGCTGTCCTGGAACTCGCTGTGTAGATCAGTAGTTCTGTCCTTGAACTCAGAGATTCACTTGCCTCCTGCCTCCTAGAATTAAAGGCATGTGCACTACCACCACTGCCTGGCTGCCACATTATATTTTAAATGTGCAGTTTTGTATTAAAAAAAAATTGTAAGACATGCAAAGAAACAAGAAAATGTACCCTACAAGCCACGACTAAAGTGCTCAGTAGACACTGTTCTGAAGAAGCACTGTTGGGCTTATTAGACAAAAATTTTATTGAACTGTTTTAAAACAACATGGTCACCAAAAGAGGCATGTCCAAAAAAATAAAGGCAGGCCTAAGGATAGTTCACAGAGTAGATAATGTTAATGAAGAAATAGAAATCAGGCCAGAAGAGCCAAGTAGGAATCTGGAGTTTAAAACCGCAACAACAGAAGTGAAGTCAGAGTGGTTAAGCAGAGTTTGGAGCCAGCTGAAGAAAGAACCAACGGGATGGAAGGTAGTTCAGTAGACATGTTCTAAGTCTAGGAAGAACCAACTGGATGGAAGGTAGTTCAGTAGACATGTTCTAAGTCTAGGAAGAACCAACTGGATGGAAGGTAGTTCAGTAGACATGTTCTAAGTCTAGGAAGAACCAACGGGATGGAAGGTAGTTCAGTAGACATGTCCTGAGCCTAGGAAGAACCAACAAGGAAATGTGTCCAGATCCTGAGACCTGTAGAACATTATGATCAAATTGTCCTAATTAAGGACAATTTGGAAAGTAGCAAGAAAGAAACAAGTCATCACAATCAGCGATCTTCACTAAAATTAACTGCTTGTTTCTATTTAGAAAATATAGAAGCCAAAAGCAACGGAGGAGGACATATTCAAAATACTGAAGGAAAACTGTCAATCAAGATTTCTATATCCAGGGATAATAACAGGCAAAATAAAAGATCCTCAAGTGAACAACTACTAGCTTACACTTGACACTGGAACATAGTTTGGTCAATATGAAGAATTAAATCAGCAGTGAAGGCTATTGGTTAAGTAAATAGACAATAGACATAGTTTTTGTCTGTTTACTTTTCTGATTTAGGAGACAGCTGTATAAAGCAGCAGTGTCTGTAAACAACCACGTGTATAGAAGATGCAGTCTGTGGCGGAACTAGCATTATTTGGAGGGTGGAAATGGTGTTCTATAGCGGAGAGAACTTTCTTTGGAAATTAAGTTGATATTTATCTGAATTTTCTGTATTTATCTGAATAGAATGTTATAAATTCAGACATT